ACTCAGAGTAGCCTGATCACTGGGAGATTGCTGGGAGGACCAACAGACTGCTCAAGTCCTTTGTTCCTCAAGCCAGCAAGCTGAGCAGCTCCTCACTTGGGGGAAGGAGGAGGTGATAGAAAGAAGGATAAGGGTCAGCATCCCCTCCTTGGACATCTTATGCAAAACCTTACCAATTGTCACTAATGTGCAATATTCGTCTCTCTTACTGTGCAATAACACATGCCAAATACTGTGTAGCATGTGTAATTTTTTTTACTTATTTATAAAGTCAGTACATCTCTGGAGTGCAATAATCCAAGTCAAGTACTGTTTAGTCTGTTTAATTTTCAGTTATTTATAAGGTCAGTACATTTCTACAGTGCAAGTGCAATAATCCAAGTCAGCTGCTATGTAGTCTTTTCTTACCTCTCTACTGTGCAGATATTTTTATATCTAAGGGAAACATATACCAGGATATAACTTTTTTATTTTTTTATGCTTTTTTGTACTATATACACTCTTTTTGTATTGTCTGTTGTATTTTTATCTTTAATGGCATACTGCTTTAACTCTTTGTACTAAATAAAGTTAAAGGAATAGTACACCCAAAACATGATTAGCCTTCATTTTCTACTCACCCCCATGCTGAACAACACTCTGGAGTACTTTTTTGATATCTCAAATGCATCTGGAGATCTGGGAGGCTTCTTGCTGTCTGCTGACATTCAAATAATGGAGGTCCATGGCGCCTTAGGCAGAAAGGTCCATAAAAGTCCACAAAAAACGTGTCAATATTCCTCCATACTGCTCGTCCAATGTATTCCAAAGTGTCCTGAGTGGGTAGCGTCCATAATTTACTCGAAACGAAGTCATTTAGAATGTTTTTAGAGCATAAACAGTATAATCAGCGTCTGCTCTGCCGATAATGCAAGCGTAGAAGAAGAAATGTGCTGTTTATCTGTGCAAAGAAAGAAACAACGAAAGAAAAATGTCTAAGGACTTCAGTGTTGAGGAAGAGCATGAGTTCTTTGCCGAGCTGAATGCGCACTTTCGTCTGGTTTGGTCTGCCGCGGTTTCCGTAGACTCGTGAACGTGCTTTTAGGAAATCCTATACACTACTGTTTATGCTCTAAAAACTTTCTAAATGACTTTGTTTCAAGTAAATTATGGACGCTACCCACTCAGGACACTTGGAATACATTTGACGAGCAGTATGGAGGAATATTGTCACATTTTTTTGTGGATTTTTATCGACCTTTCTGCCTCGGGCACCATAGACCTCCATTATTCGAATGTCAGCAGACAGCAAGAAGCCTCCCAGATCTCCAGATGCATTTGAGATATCAAAAAAGTACTCCAGAGTGTTGTTCAGCATGGGGGTGAGTAGAAAATGAAGGCTAATCATGTTTTGGGTGTACTATTCCTTTAAGTCTAGTCTAAGTCTAAAACTATTATCTTTCTTTTGAAAATTCTTTCCAGTGGTCCGAGATCAGCTAGTTAAAAAAAAGAGAAAAAGTGAATTTTGATGACCCCCAGAATAAATGTTTTACATCATAAAATGTCATCGGTTCTAATGTTCCTCTTAAGATTTTAAATTCTTTTGAACTTTGAAATTGAACTCATCCAACATTCCTTTTTTTCTAATCATTGACTGTTTGGCAGTGATATGCATCAAATGTTGTTTTGTTGCGGCTGACAAAAAGCCATGAAAAAACATAAATCACCTGTACACCCATCTGAAGAGCATTAGTGAGCTTTCAGTTTGACAAAGAGCCTCACAGGCCAAACTCTTCACGAGGAGATGGGAACTCTAAGCCCATCATATTTGTTCATTATGAAGCCAATCCTTTGTTGTTTTGTTATATAAATATAACCTTTTTAATAAAGAATATCTGCTCAATCAAAAATGTTTCCTTAAATTAAAAGACAATAACTATAAATATAGAATATAGAAATTTACAGAGACTTCTTTGTTATTTACTCTCTATGTTAAATTCTCATTTATCATAAGTGTGTATCTCACCTTTACCTGAACTCCTGATTCAAAATGCATCATTATGCTTAGTGACAAATACAACTTGTGCGAGCCTTCATTAGATGGATTCATCCATTGCTTTTTAAGGTGAATGCGTCAGTTTTTGGTATTGCATTAACTAGAGTAAAATACTGTACTTTACAACAGGTTTGCATAATTATTTTTTAACTTTTTTTCAGCAAGCAGGCTATTGCTTTCATTTTGTTAAGTAGTCTTGATCAACATCTTTTAAGAGATTTTATGTCTTCTATGAGAAATTTCCTTATATTTTCAAAGGTCTTTTATAGAGAATATTTCATCTAATTTGTATTGTTTAGCACAACCTGGGCAAAAAATTGGTCCACATGTGGGCTCCATTAATTTTACATCTATACTGCACTGTAAAACTAGCTAAGATTTGGGGGTGCTACTATAACATGTTTGGCCATGTAAAGTTTGTGCTGATAGACAGCTAGGTATTTCCCTGTAAACATGTAATCATAGCCCCGTTTTGGTTCTGTATGGCTGTGGAGGGAAAAGAAAAGTGTTTTTATGATCTTCCATCCATCCATCCATCCATCCATCCATCCATCCATCCATCCATCCATCCATCCATCCATCCATCCATCCATCCATCCATCCATCCATCCATCCATCCATCCATCCATCCATCCATCCAGTGTTGGGGTCAGAGAGGTGGGGTACACCTTGGACAGGTGGCCAGTCTGTCGCACTATATTTAAAATGTGAAAGAAATTATTGTTTTAGTTTCTTGGTAGTATTTGTTTTTCTAACCTCTCCCCCTCATCTTCAATATCAGTGTAATGTATGCATACCTATCTTCTTAAGAATTGTCTCCCTTTATATTGAAAGCAAGAACACTAGGCATTAATTTTATGACAGTCAAACGGTATTTTCTTGCCGGTCTTATTTACAATGGAACCTGTTTAGTTTAAGGAAAGAAAACGTTGCGTTTGTGTTTGATAGATCTCTGTGGTTTTCATTTATGAAGATATTTTAGGTTGTGTACAAAGGTTATTCTGTGTTTTAAATTAGCAGCCAAGAATAAAAAGCAGCTTCCTCCTAATATAATTTTAAGTATTTATTCTCCCCACCATATCAGATTAAGTGGTCAGGATGGTCGTCTAGCAATAATAATGAAAAAACAAAACAAAAACTAAAATAGATATAGACACGCTACATCAGTTGACATTAGTGTGGGGATATTTTTTGCTGCTGGATCTCAATGTGGGTTAAACTGTATTGTACAACAGCATAGAACACTGCTCAGCCAATCACATTTAAGTATGGGAAACTCTTGTTTATATGATCAAATTAGTTTCACTTTCTTTGCTGGGTAGAGTTTAAAAGAAAATCATGGGTAATGTTCCCCTTTCCTTTCTTATAAAGTGTCTTACAAAGGTATTCAAACCGCTTTAACTTTCTAACCTTTTGTCACATCACAACCATACAATTCAGTGTATTAAAATCTCCTGTTGTGGCAAACTAACACAAAGGAGTTCTATAACTGTGAAGTAAAATCAAACGAATACATGTTTTCCCAAAAACCTTTATCAATCAAATCTGAAAGAAAAAAAAATTTAAATGGTGAGCACTTGTTGGTTTGTTTCTCGACCAGGATAGGATTCTACTGTGCTCAGTCAGATTTGATGATGGTTACCTGAATATTCTGCCACAGATTCTCAATAGGATTTAGGGCTGCACCTGCACTGTCCTTTGACAATGCTTTGGCATTATCCTCAGCCATGAAGGCGAACCTCTCCCTCAGGCTCAAGGTTTTTGCAGTTTCTTGCAGGATTTCTACAGTCCTTTTCTATTTCTGTCCATAAATTCTGACCAGCTTGCTTAAGAAATGCATGCCCAAAGCATGATGCTGCCACCAACATGTTTCATAATGAGAATGATTTATTCAGGATTAGATTCATTCTTTTAAAACATTTCACCCAAGTTTTAAAATTTTATAACAACACAAACCTATTAAACAAACCTTACATGATGCATATTCGTTTGCATAATAAGGCTTATTTATATAACATAAACAATCATCAGGCTTATGTTTTTAGTATTAACAATTTATATTTTCTCATATAAAAAGGAATTTGTAATTATTTCAAATACATAAAGTTTATTGCTTTAATTGCATAGAAATTTATGTATTTTAAATTAACACACTCATTGGTATTCATTGAGTAAGTGTACTTTATCAATTGTGAATACATAAACTTGACTTTAATTAATATGCGTCCTTTAAGGTTTATTTAATAGATTTCTATAAAAAAAGTACATGAAAATTTGTTATGCAATTAATTAACATAAACCTTACAATTTAGGTGCGAAAGGAGGTCAGTTGTGCTGGATTTTGTTTAGGAATATATAAAAATGCCTGAATACAAACGTATGCCAGAATTAGATTTCTAGTTTGGAAAACATTTAGTAAACTATATAAAATGTTCAGAGTTTATGTCATAACACAACAAAAATATAAGAAGAGATGGGAATACCTTTACACTGCCATCTATCTTAACATTTTGTGTTTATATGATCTGCAGTGTGATCACTTAACAATTTATTTTGTTATTTTTTGTCAAATGTGTAATTGTATATCTGTTTTTATTAAAGGACTGAATTCAACTATTATAATCTACTATTTTGATAATGCTACTTATTTTTCCCAGAATGACATAGACAACTGCAGTGACAGTTCCAGGCCCTCTGCATGTTCCTCTCACCTCAGACATGACCAACGACCAACAGCCCAAATAAAAAACCATAGGACCTGCTCTGATTGCTGTTGGAGGGCAAACATTTGTTTGTCTCCTCTGTACAAGCACAGATAGGCCTTGGCTGAATTGACAAGGTGCCCTAAATTGTGTCTTTGACACCTGATCCTATGAGTCAGAACCATTAAAGAAGAAGATTGGGTGTGGTGATAATGTATTGATCAGGCTGTGATGGATGGGCACGGATGAAATATAAGGGAAGTTCTCGGTGGAGATGAAAACAGTCCAGATCCGGCCACCTGAGGGTAGAGACACCATGCTTTCTTTAGCTCTGTTTAACCTTCTCGCTGTAATTTGCTCTGCAACATGGACACATGCTCTGCCGCTTTATCAGGAACCCAATGTGGAGCCACAAGCAGGTAAGATTCAAAGTCTATGATTAAATAATTGTTTTTAATAAGAAAATACTCTTTCCAAAGTAGTTTTTGTCTTCCTTTAAGTAAAAAAAATGCTAAAAGTCAGAAATATTATTTTATTCCAACAGATTTTATTCAGAAGTTGGTGTCGGAGGTGGGTGATGGTGCCAACACTGCTGAGGAGGAGCAGAGAGAGGTGAATAACCTGTATCCTTTAATGAGGCATCAGAACGGAGGAAGAGACTCCTGGAACAAAGGTAAAACTGGCAAACTATGTGTAAACATTTAAAGCCAACAGACAAGTGAGACAAATAACTTGACGGCATTAACAGTGAGACTATGTATCCCTTTAGGGGCAAAGGATTCACCACCACAAGAAAATTTAGCAAATATGGTAAGAAGATGTTTTCAAAAATATGTTTAAGTTTGTGGAGAATATTTTCAATGATACAGTTTAAAGTTTCTTCACAAAAATGGAAAAAGATGAACCAAATATTTTTTGTTTAAGGCATCAAATTATATTTTTGAAGAAAAACTCTTATAGAATTTCACAATAAATAATTTTTTTTTAACCTGAATTATCGGGATGATTGTTTCAGTTTAGATCTTACCAAAAACAAAGGAATTGTTCTGCTTAAATGTCATGAATGTTTTTAGTCTTTGAGTATAATAACTTAGAATAAAATTACGATAAATGTAGATTGGGACATTTAATCTAACTCATAATTGAAAACTTATGCTGTTTTATATATTTATTTAATTTTTTTTAGGTTGAAGACCTTAAGGAAGTTGTCCTGAAGCTGGCTGCCGCCGACAAGCTGCGCTCTCAGGGCTTTATCAGATCAGAGCAGAGTCTCCCAAAAACAAACAAAAGAGGTGAGAGGCTACAAATACTCTCTCTGATAAACATTCCACACCTTCATTTACATCCTAGTTCAAAAGGATATTATTATCCATTAGTCAAAAAGGGCTTGTCTTAAGATTTTTATTTAACCTCTAGGGCTTGTTTGAAACAAAAGACATAAAATATATTTAACAAAATAGAAACCTGTATGAACAAATATTCAGCGTGGGCAGGAATGTGTCTATAAAGAAAAGAAAATTTATTGGCACCTGGAGTCAAGGAAGAATAAAAGCACTGGAGTAAATTAAAGTTTTCGGTAGGAACATTCTCTAGAGTTGAAAGAGGATTATTTTTTTGTTTTCCGTCCCCTGCTTGCTGTGTTCAGTGTCAGCATAAACTCTATCCTCCAGCATTGCTCATCATAGTGCTACTAGTAGCTCTTGTAAAACTTTTAATTGTTGCTCTAACTGTGAATTTTTGAAAATATGACTTCAGTGATGAACTTTAGAAGTTTATAACTCATAGCTTTACTTGAATGGAACGTTTTCTGGTCTTTCCCTTTATGAAGCATTAGTAATAAAATGGGCCTCTATGTCAGGTCATATTCATGTGCCAGAGAAACAGATAGTTATGATGACTCATTAAATGGATCAACCCGAAGCAAAATATTTAAAAGAAAAGGTTGCCTTTGTTGGAGATGGTAAATATTTTAGCTCTAAGAATTATAATTATTCAGTTGTTTCTTCATATTGGTTTGTTCCAAAACTGAGCAAAAGTACATGAATAGATGAGGTAGATGTGTTTTTCAGTGGGAGATTATGCTTTTTAAATTAATTATTGACTTATTTTCAGGATTTGTGGACATTTTTTACAGTAGGTCTCTTTCGAGGATGAATCAAATCTAACTTTAATTTTTTTAAAAACATATAAAGCAATATTTATCAGAGTAGAACCTCTACTTTAGGTGTCGCTTAAATATCGTTTCTGTGTTTTTAATCAGATATCGGTCCAGTCATTTAATCCCTAAATGAACAAGTTTAAACACCACCTTTGGTTGAAAGTGTTTATTTGTAAAACCTTTTAAGCCTTTTAGCACCATTTCTTTCCGATTCAACCTAAACACATTCGCTAATAACCTAATACAAGACATTACATGTCTATTTAAAGATGCTGTGTGTATTGATACAAAGGCATTCAAATCTCTACTTTAATTCAGGTTACAATTGTAAATGTAATTGCAGATTACATTTCTGTTTTAATAAAAAAAGTAATGTTTTAATTAGACCACATGACAGTTCATCAAGTTTAATTACACATTTCTTTTCTTCCTCTTGCAGCTACAGTATACAACATTTCTTCAACACATGCTGAAATGATAATGAAAGTGCTCAGAATTATTTCAGCCAAAATATAGCCAAACTACCTGAAAATGTGTAGAGTAGTTAAACCTTAGAAAGGTTTTGTTTTTCTTAAATGGCATCATTATCATATGAAATTTTCTATAACCGAGGAGGCTATTGCTGAAGCACTGGAACAGATTTTCTTTGTACTGTTATATATATATTATAAATACATCTCTGCTTCCTCAGTGTAACCCGATTGGTGTTTCTGTTTGCAGCGTGTTTCTGGAAATACTGTGTGACCAACTAGAGCCCAGCAGACAGATGTTCGGGACTCGTCAGAGGAAAATCCACCTTCCATCTTATTCTTTTCTTTCCCATATAAAAACACACATGTACTGTCTGTAACAGATACAAAAAAGAAGATTATATATTTTTTAAACCTGTAATTTTTTTGTTCTGTTTATGTTTTTGACTGAAATAAACTAGGATATCTTAAACGGCCTCTACGGCGTGTGATTGGTTTTTGCTTTCTTCCAGAGCAACAAAGAAATATAGAGGTGATAAAGAAAAGCATTTATTTCATAGTGTGTTTGTTAGAGTTCATTAAATCAGATGACTGTTACAAACGTTGCACTAAAATTAACTGTCATTTACATGTTTATTCTTACGCAGGTATTTTAAATCAATTGCTTAATATGTCAAAAGCATTCAAATATTAATATTTACATTATAAACAATAATTCTCCTAAATATCCACCAATAGTAAATTGCACTCTAGGCCTTTTTTATCTGTGAGTAACTATAGATAAACATGTGAAAGCATGCCATCAGTTCTGGGTTCTGAGTGTGTCCGCTTCATCAGGAGAGCTTATTCTTATGACAACAGCTCCTTCCGTAGATCACTATCTTGGGTATATTAGGTGAGAACAGGACAATAACTTTATGGGATGTAGATTTTTTTATTTCCTCTTGGCAACGCCCAGGTAAGCCTTCTCGATCTCAATGTCAGCCGGACACGTTTGTTTGAACTCCTCCCGCTTGTAGGCGTTTTCAAGGTACCTCCAGACACCAGAGAACTCGGCTGGAATTTCAAAATCGCAGTACTTCTTGGCAGCGACCTGAAAGGGGAATAAAAACTTAGGACTTCTAAGTCACAGTTTGACTTAAATGGCTAGAAAGCTATGAGTAAATTGTGTATTAAAAAGTTTTGAGCTTCACATCCAAAAAAAAAAACAAATACAGATATATAACCCTATCACTCTCATGATCATCATTTATAAGGTATACACCATACAGAGCCAACAACCATGACAATATTTTCAACAAAATGGGATGAACAACCTTGATTTTGAATTATTATAAATGTTTCTCAGTTGTTAAAACTGATGGTAGCCCAAGATTTTTTTTTCAGGGTCTCACTTACAGCCACTGATGCTTAACTAATATTTCCCAATAAATAGTGACCGAGTAATAAATGCCTTAAAATTCATGGCATAGAGGTAATCTAATGTAATCTAATGTCATCTAATGTAATGTAATGTAATGTAATGTAATCTAATCTAATCTAATCTAATAAATCAGTTGCTATTACTTAATAAATATGACTTTTGATAAAATGTTATTAAAGCTGTCATTGAATTGGGATGATTGGATAATATTTTACCTTAGTTATTTTGTGGGATGGGCTTCAACATAAATTACAAAGAAGAGAAAGAGAAGCATAAACTGACTGACCCAGCCCTCTAGCATGAAAAGGAAAATAATTTATTTTGCCCAAATTTGTTTAGAGAATGTAATTTTATGCTTTAAAGGTGAACTTTTTAAAGACAAAAGCAGATTAAATTACATAATAGCGGTCAATTCAGTGAATGCCCTTGTTAATGAGATATTAATTTATGGTTTATCATTTCTTATTGTTGTTTTTGTCTCCTTTGCTATTCAGATATCTTTCTAAGTATGTAAGTAAGATCTTTTTGATCTTTACATAAGTAAGAAACTACAAGTTTTTGATACGTGTTTTTTCTTTTAAAGACGTTATTCAGAAAAAAGTTCAGTAAAGGTAAAAGAAGAAAATTCTGAAAGTGAAAGTGTTTGATTTAATATGAGATATTGGGATTTGCTTTGGTATGATTACCCTACTGCTCTTGGGGGCCCACTGCTGGCTGCTGAGCTGTATCCAGCCAATTGTTTTGCTTAAATATTGGCCAGCTTTAGATTATTTAGAGGAAATTATTTAGCTCTCCTCTTCTTTGAATAATAGCTCTGGTGTTGTTCTGCAATTTAACATCAACATTCAGCTAAAAAATGATATTTTAATGTGTATGTTTCAAACATCACTTCTATTAAATGACCAGTCATTTTAAATTTCCTACTTTTTATTAATTTTCAAACCACAAACATAAATTTATTAATTTTATTTTTAGAAATAGAATTAAAAACTTTAAATATTCCTGTTTTTTCAAAAGTATTCCTTTGATTACTTTTAAACATTTTTAAAGCTTGTCTCACCCTGATGACGTGCAGCTTGGGCAACAGGTTGCAATCGGCTAAGGTGAGCCGGTCGCCATCCAGAAACGTCCTCTTGGAGACAGTGATGTCCTCTGCCGAGTTGTGATCGATTTCTTCTGGGAGTGGGCTGTTCAAGTACTTGTCCAAACGCTGAAACTCTCTCAGGAGATTTTTTTCTTGGGCTGTAGTATAACAGAGATTGTTCACTGTAATTATGTTTTTGTCTCAGTATTACTTGCTTTTTTAGTAAAGTAAGAAAAAAGAATGACTGAGTAAAGGTTAAGCTCTCAATGTGGTAAAAAATGTTACAAACAATATATGAAAATATATAAAAATCAATTGAAAGCCATTTAAACAAAAGTTTCACAAATCTGATGATAGGAGGGTCACCATCAGTGTGTGTGAATGGGTGGAAGTAGTGTAAAGCGCTTTGGTCAAGTCTCCTGACTTGAAGAAGTACATATTTCGAGTGACACCAAACATGATAATATATAATTTTGTATGAAAACACAAAAGGATAAGATGTTAGTCTAGTCAACCGCTGAGATAAGAAATTCGTCTGTCAGGGTTCCTGTGTGTGTGGGTTAGTCCGAGTTGTGCATCTCTAACATAGAGGATCTTTGTGGAGAACCTGGATAGCCTACACAGGTGAAAATAATCTTTCTAATCATAGTGCTGGGCTTAAAAGAGCACCTTCATTCAGTGCTGGTTTGTTGTGTTGTATATGTTGTTTTGTGGCTTTCTAATCTCTTGCCTCCCTCGAGTATTTTTCCTGACGTTTATTGGTTTTGTTTGGTTTTCTGTATTTTGGATTTTTGCATCTGTTCCCCTTAGACTTTCATTAAACCATCCAAACTCATCCGTGCCTACTCCTCTCTGCATTTGGGTCCTCAAAACCTCGACACAACCAGACAGAATCTTTGAAACATCAAGAAGCTCAAGAGAGAGATACTACAGTTAACTATAATCTACTGTGATGGTCTATGTTGTACTTCTATTACTTTTTTGCAATTCAAGGGATTGAATAACTATGAAACACAAAAAAATACTTTCTAAGACACCAGGATAATCTGTTGGCCTTGAATATCAGACATCTATTCATGGGACAGTGAAAAATACACCTTTTTGGCCTCTCTTTTCATACTAGTTTCTACAGATGTAGAACGTAGGCCGACCAAATGTTCACTTTAAGAACTTAGGGTCTCTCCTTGAAAGGGGTTTCAGAAGGTTTAAACACATGTCTGAGACATAGGAATCAACAACTGAGTCATGCATTTATCACACCCACAGCTCAAAAAGGTTAAGCTCTTGTAAGTCATTCAGTGTGGTTAATTTTCTGTGATGGACAAAAGCCTTCCTGAGTCTCTTTTTCTGTCTGTGTGTTTAAACACATCACTGTTTCCAGATGGTTATGGCTTTCAGGAGAGCAGCTACCCTCTTAAAGGATATGCAGCTCCAAATTAAAGGACTTACTTCGATTGGTAAAAAGTAATTTCATTACATTAGCATAATATATGAACAAGTTTTGCCATAATTTTGAGGATCTGAGAGAATGAATTTATTCATAGCAGATTTTTATATTGAAAACACTATATAATGGTTGAGGTTTGAGGCTTATTTAATATAAACCATAAAATAACTTAATCTAAATGGAGAGGACAACATAGCAAAGTGTTTTGTCAGACAGCATGGGATTAATTTCCACCGTTATGTTGATGACACTCAGCTTTATTTGCCATAAATGTAGAAGAACCTAACTCAGTCTCTTTATCTGGATGGCATTTTTGTTTATTCAAACTTGTCATTCAAATCCCATATTAAAGAGGTTTCTAGAATTTCCTTCCTCTTTACACAAAATGTTGTCAAAAGCCTTTGGGGGATCCAAAATGCTGCATGAAAGCTTCCCTTCATTGGCCTCCTGCTAAATCCAAAATAGAATTGTACACAGTCTTTCCCATGTATACTGTAAATCCCTGAATAACAGAACTCAATTTTATATCACAGATCTGTTTGTTCCTTTTGTTCCTAATACAGCAATTTACTCTCAATCTGGAGATTAACTCATCGTTCCAAGGAAATAAATTGGAAGTCGGATCTTTTAGTTATCAGGCTCCTGTGGAATCTGGTTCCGCTTTTAGTCCATGAGGCAGACACTCTGTCTACTTTCAGGTTAGGCATTAAATTTTCCTTTTTGATAAATAGATATAGATCGATTCTAGATATAGAGTGGCCAAGATCCTGTCAACACACCCATTTGCGGGCCAAGCAGGTTGGATGTGGGCTGGTGAGTGTGCCCCATCTGGGCTGCACAGCTGGGTCCCAGATATTTTTGTCTGGGGGTTCCATGGTGGCCCCATGTGGCCAAGCTCAGATGGGCTGAGGGTGGGTTTCACTTGGGCCCCATCTAAAAAAAACACAGGTTTCTCCCACATGGGTCCCAACAACAGAGCCCACTCAGAGTCCACGCCCAGCTGAAGCCCATCCAGCCCAAGTGAGGACCATATGTGAGCATTGGTTATTCTGAGCTGTTTCTACAGTAATGCTGCTATAGGTTTAGGCTGCTGGAGGACACCAGGGGCACTTTTCATCTTTCTACTTTGCTCTACTGTTTACCAATTTTGGAATATTTGTTAGTTATATCTCCTACATTCAATTATAGATGATAGTGTTGGTCCTGTTTTTCAGTGCTTAATCCTGCTTCTCTTCTAGAAATAGCTATGTGGTCAGCTCTTACTGTGACAAACCATAAGGCTTCTCTTTCATCTATTTTGACATTAAAATTATTTCATAGTTCATCTGCTTAGCTGCTTTCATAGATAGAACCAACTATGGAGCTAGTTCCCTGTTGCCTTTAATAACTGCTAACTAAGTTTTCATGGATCAGTGCTACCGTGTTCCTATTATATGTCCTTTTCTGTCTCGTTGACCTTGGCAAAAGCCAGCTCACTCTGAGCCTAGCTTTGCTGGAATTTTCTTCCAGAGTAAAAAAAAGAGTG